TGATGAGAATAAACATCTAAATGCTACATCTGAAGCAACTAAGTTGAAGTCAGTTGAGATTATAGTTAAAGCGACTTGTATGAATCACTTTCACTCGTTGTTTGCTACTAGTGGAGAAGAAAATCAATGGAAGACATATTAGCTGTTAAAGAATATGCTTTTATGGATCCTCACAATGTGGCAGGTAAATTCATTAAAAAATATGGATCGCCTAAAGAAAAGTACTCAATAGATAGATGAGCAAGAAGTGACAAAAAGATGCAGAAATAAATTTGCAAGATGAAGAAATGGTTGAGTGTATTCATGGTAGATACACGATCGTCTATACAGAAGGATAAGAGGAAGACAAAAGTAAATGCAATAGAGGCTGGGAATGAAGAGGAAGATAAATGTTTATGTTCCTAATCTAACAAGCATTCTTTTAGATCAGTTGAGTCAGAAAGATGAATAGATAGCATAGATGGCGAAAAAAATGGAAGAGCTGATGGCTGCTATAGCGTCCTTCCAAATAAAAATAGTTTCCTTCAATTAAGGCTTATATAGAATCTATTCTAGTTGAATCTTTTTCAAAATTGTAATAAATCTAGAGAAGAAGCAAAAGAAAATAAAATTGAAGTTTTAAAATTAGGACAAGAAATGATACAAATAGTAGACATCAAATATATGTTAGAGCAACAAGTCAAGGAGGCTTTAGCATAGGCAAAGGGTACCTTGTCTCTTCTGAACGGTAGACCTTATCCTGAAGAATATAACTTGGTTTCTTATCCTAAAGTATTTGTTCGACCATTATTCAAATATTTTGATGGAATAAGGAATCTGAAGCAACATCCAGTACGCTTCAGGGCCAATTGTTGCAACACATGAGGCAATGATGCTATACTTTTTAGATAGTTTATAAGCAGCTTGTTAGGTGTCGCATTTAAGTGTTATGCTGAGATAACTAATGGGTCAGTGCAGACATTTGTTGAGTTAGAACAAATGTTAACTAAAAGGTTAGCTAGAGCACGTTATAGATAAATCAGTTATGATAACAAGGAGTATTTTATTGATTCTAGTCAATGACTAGCTAAATACATGATTGATGAGCCTTATGTATCTATTTTAATTTCAAAATCTAATGATAATTGTATATAGCTTTATCCTGCTCTTTTATGAAAATTTTAAATATACTTTATCATCCATGTCCTTAGGTATCTCAAGGAGTACAGAGTCCCCTCCAAGTTGATCTAGCAGCTCCCAAAGAGGAAGTTCAGCATAAAATTCCTTCTAAAGAACCTATGAAGAGATCAATAGTCAGTCTTCAACAGTTCAGAAGGAATAGCTCAAGAATAAAAGTAGTAATGCAAGCAATAAAACTGTAATTTCTTCTAATGGCAAAGTAAAGGATCTTGTACAACTTATAGTATATGATTTCTATTTAGTCCTGCCAGGGGGTAAGGAAGTAATGAAGAAAGGTTCAGTGTATATATTATCTCTATCGGGCGATGATAAAAAAAATGATGCAACAAAAAATAACTCTATAGAACTTAAAATAAATTTAAATAAAGTAAAAGAATCTCATTAATATTTCTCTAATAGTGATTCATCTATCCTTGATATTCAGGATGATCCTATTTATATAAAAAATGAGATGTCTGATTTTGATAATTCATCAGGTGAAGCATTAAAAGTAATTGAACATATAAAATCAAAATAATCTACTATCTCTCCCTCAGAATAGATAGTTCAAGTAAATCTATGTAATGATAAGGTGTTAACACCATCAGTATATGTAGCCAACAAAGGAAAGAAGGTAGATGATATTCTAAAAACTTTAATAACAGTTCAAAATAAATTCAGATGTGGCTAATTCAAATATTCCTAAAGTAGATTATAATATATTAGCACATCTCCAAAAATAGCCTGTGAAATTAAGTATTTATGATACTTTAGTTTTTCCAAAGAAATGAGGGAGACTTTAATCAAAGCTTTACTCAACCTAGAGATATGTATGACTTAGTTAGCATCAAGGTAGTTTAAAGAAACATTAAATTGTGAAGAAATTTTAGAAATTATGCTTGTATATGAAGATATACTCTTCGAAACTTCATATCACAATCATCTATTATATATATATATATATATATATATATATTGTGTTCTTATTGATCCGGGTGCATTGATTAACTTAATGATTCTTAAAACACTCGCATACCTGAAGGTGGATATTTGTAAATACAGTTCTAACAAAATGATGTTACGCGTGTTTAATGAATAAGGCAAGAGAGCTTTGGGTTCAATCACTTTGCTATTAAAAATAGGAAACCTAAAGATAGAGTCAAATTTGATATAATATATTTCAAAGCTTCTTAGAACGCCCTTTTGGGTAGACCTTGCCTAGATCAATATAAAATTGTGCCTTCCATCCTTCATCTGTGTATCAAATATTCTTGTGAGGGAGAAGAGCATTGTATTAAAGACGACTTGCATCCATTTTCAATTCATAAAGCTTGTATATACGAAGATGCTTCATAATATCTGCCTATGAAGCAGACTGTCTTTTCTAAAAATCTCAAATTGGTTGAAGAAGTGGAAAAAGAAAAGAAAGGAAAAGGAGCAAAAGAAAAGGGAAAAAAGCAAAGCTTTCTAATCTCGAACACGATGTACATTAGTCACCTACACCTCCCTCACAAATAGGTGGTAGAATGGCTCAACAATCTAGAGGAAGGGGTCAATGATGGAAAAATAGTGGTAAAAGAAAATGAAAAAATAAAGTGTGCAAATAAAGGCACCTACAATACATATTTATTTTTAATCTAGCCCAGAGGAGGAATTATATATAATTGATAAAAAAGCCACAGGTTGTAGAGTATAAGGAAAATTTAAAGCAGCCAAAGTTCGAGATTTTGATAGAAGCATATAGCGACGAGGATAGGGTCTATGTCACTAGAGAAGCTAATTCAAACATATCTACCATGGAGAAATTAAAGAAGTATGTAAAAAATATTATTCTTACTCCACTATCTCAAAACAATTTAAAAAGGTTAGAGGTAAAAACTTATATTCCTTTAAATGCAGATATAATATTTTTGTAACTTCTACCAACAAAATAACTGAAACCATTGTACACTTCAATGATCCATTCATGGACGAAATAGTGGAACGCCCTCTTGATTGGTACTCCAATTGTTTAAGTTTTAAAGCCATCAAATTTGACTAGAGGTGAAGCCCCGCAATTTGAATGCATGTGGAGTATAAAATACCATAAAATACGCATGAAGATCGATATTGTGTTACTTCGCTCCTGTATTTTCGTTTGAATACAACGAATATTGCTTAGTTATATCAAATAATCTAGATATTGATAGTCTCTTTTCACTAAACATTAAGACTCTTAATGAACTCTGTTTAAAAAAAAAAAAAACTTTAGATGATCTGGATGACTCTCGAGTTAGAAATGTACCTCCAGAATTTGAAGATGAGATCAAATTCATTGTTGACGATTTGAATGAAATAAATCTGGGAATTGAAGAAGATCTTTGTCCACTTTTCATAAGTTCTTTATTAATCGAGAACGAGACAAATAAAATGATAAAACTCTTGGAGGAATTCAATTACTATTTTTCCTAGAGATATGAAGAAATTCTTGGATTATCTCTATATATAACAACTCATAAGCTAGAAATTCAACCAAGAATGATTCAAATTAGACAAGCACTATGATGAATGCAACTTGATATTGAGCAACAAGTAATATCTAAATTTAAAAGTTAATCGATGCAGGCTTTATTAGGGAGAAGAAATATCCAACATGGTTAATTAGTATCATTCTGATTAAGTAGAAGAATGACCATGTTGAGGTTTGTATTAATTTTAGATATATGAATAAAGCTTGTCCTAAAAATGAGTTAACACTTTTGATATCAAAACTTATGGTTGATATTGCTTCCTCCCATGTAATATTCTTATTTAAGGATGCCTCCTATATGTACAACTAAATCAAAACGTCTCCTGATAATGAAAAATATACAACTTTGAGAACACAAATGAGTGTCTAGTGTTGTTAAATAATGTTATTTGGACTAAAGAATGTTGGAGCAACTTAACAGCGAGCAAGGATGAGGATTTTTTATGAACTAATTCTTATGTTGATCATCTAGTCGTCAAAAGTCACGAAAGAGGTGACCACTTATATGTTCAAGAAAGTGTTTTGTAAAGATTATATCAACATAATTTGAAAATGAATCTGTCGAAGTGTGTTTTTGATGTCATTTCAGGAAAATGTTTAGGCTTTATTATCCGACATCGAGGAATCAAGATAGATCCAAATAAAATCAAAACTATAATACAAATGCTAAATAGATTATTTATAAGTAATTCATAGTATAAAAAAATAAATTCCAACATTTTATTTTTTAAGCATAAATTTCTATTTTTTTCTTAAGGATGATAGACGATAATATTCTAAATGAATGGTTGATTCAAAGAATAAGTATAGGAATACCAAATTTTCCGTTGAAAGAATTTCTCAACTCAGGCAAGAATCACTGCTGAGATAGATGGAAAGATTTTGATGCATCTCCATAATAGTATTAATCTATTCTTAAAAATTTATGAACAAAATATGGGCAACTAATAAATCATATGAAATTCTTGTTAAAAAGAAAAAAAGTTTGTTAGACAAAAAAAAAAAAAAAAATATATAATATATATATATATATATATATAATATAATATATAATACTATATATATTATATATATATATATATAGATCATAATTTCATGCATCAAATATTATTGCTTGCTCAATGATTAATATTCATCAATACAATTCATATGAAAAATATTTGTACTCACATTTGATATTATAAATTTAGGCTTCGTTTGGGACGGCTTTTTTAATGCTTCTTGAAGTAGCTTTCTAGTACAAAAATTTTAATTTTTATACTAAAAAGCTGCTTCAAGAAGTAAAAAAAAAGCTGTCCCAAACGAAGCCTTAAAGTACATCGAAAAGCACAGCTTATTTTTTGCAATATTTAATAATTATATAAATGTATCTTATTGAATTCCCATAGCAAGTTCTCGACATCATTCATAGCATACCAATTTAAACACAAGCATTATTGCAAACCTTAATTACTCACCACCCAACCAGCGGCTTCTCCCTCTCTTTAACCCTAACCATAAACCCCCTTTCCATGTGCAGTATAATCGACAGCTTTGGCACGCCGACACGCCATCCAACCTCAGCCGCCTCAACCCTAAACCTCGCAATCACAGCTGCTGCCACCATCTTCATTTGAACAAATGCCATGTCCTTTCCCAAACAAGTCCTCGGCCCAGAGTTGAAGGAGACGAATTTATATGATGGCTGGTGTCGGAGCGTTCCCGTCTCTGATATCCACCGCTCCGGTTTGAATTCATGACAATCCTTACCCCAGACTTTCTCTATTCTTCCCATGGAGTAGAGGGAGAAGAGAATTCGGTGACGAGGGTGAACTCGGTGACCACTTGGAAGGATGTCAGGTTCGACGGCTGCTTTGTGCTCGAAAGGGACCGGGGGGAAGAGGCGGAGGGATTCAAATAGAGCAGCTTGGAGGTATACGAGGCGGGTAAGATCAGAGAAAACAGAGAGTTCGTCGAGGATTTTGTACTCTACGGAGGGGTGGTGGGAGAGAAGGTAGAAAAACCAAGTGAGGGCAGAGCTTGTGGTGTCGCGCCCGGCAACCATGAAGTTGAGCGTCGAGTCACGCAGGAATTTGTTGAAGTCGATGCCGAGGGATTCCACTTCATAGCGACAGTTGAGGTAGGAAGAGACGAGGTCAGCGCCGCCCACTAATTCGGTTGCGCGCTTTGCGATGTAATCGGCAATGAAGTGATCTATTACCTGGAGAATAATATTGAATAAATTTAAAGAAAATTTTCGAAAATGGTTATCCAAACGATCTTGTGTTCAAATTTCTTAATATTTATTAATGTTTTATATATGGTTATTCCTGCAACCCAATATAATTCATAATTTACTGAAGTTTACTGATCAACTCTCTTTGTAAAAAATAAGGAAAAGTTTACTTAATTAAAACGCGCTGCGATAGCTTTTCATGCTTGCAACTATATTTTTAGTGGAGATTATTATGTGCGGATATTGAACGGGAGAACCATCCGGTTACGATGGGCACCGAGCTCGGTACTGAGCGCATTATCGAGTCAGTACCGAACGAGGCACATTTTTGAGAAAGACGTGACGCATTTTTATTGGTCTCCAGACCATATCAACACTCGGCACCTAATAGTTTACCTGTTTTTAGGAGGAACTTACAAAATATTTAAAATTTATCTATTTATAAACTAGACTCATATAATCATTGAGGTTAAACTAAAATATAATAAAGCTTAACGCCTAGTTAGATGTGCATCTAAAATAATTTCCAACAGCTTTTCTGTCCCTTTACAAACATTTTTTATTAATATTTATGCCCCCAGAGTTGCTTACCATTCTGGTCGACACAAAATAGTTGCAGCTTTAATTTGGTACGCCTGTGGCGTTGTGTTAACCGAAGACTATAAAATAAAAAAGAAACTATAGAGAAAACATAATTTTAATTTACGTATTTTTAAAATGGTCTGCTAATAATCTCGAAAGAATTTGTGGCATAGCGAACCCGAAAGATTATTTTTTTCAAATTTATGAATTTGGGTCAAATATTTTGTCATCTCTCGTTTGGAAATAAAATCAAAACTATTTCTTTCAATTAAACATAAATTAAATAAAATAATTTACCTTAACAGCCTGAGCCATCCTCCTCTCGGGCCCCACCCGAAGCCACCTCAGCAACTTCCACCAGCTCAGCGGAACAACATGACGGAAAAACAGAACCTCCTCTGCGTTATCCATTGCATTGGCGAACGCAACCTCCGGCAACGTCTCTGCAGCCGCTGTCAGGCAACCCGGGTCGACCCCGAAGACGAACATACTCGTCGTATCGAATGTTAGCCTGAGGAAAACGTCCTGCAAAAACGGATCTTCAAAAAACCTCATATATCTCGGGCAACTTTTTCGTTGCATTTTAAAATAATTTTTCAGTACAAAATTTTTGTAAATTAAAAATATTTATAAAAAAATCATTTTATATATATATATAGAAAGCAAAACTTGATGGCAAGTTAGAATTGAAAATTTATCGTGTTCGAGTAATATATGCAGCTTTGCATGCCTTAATCGGACAAAATAAATTTTGTTTCAACTATACAAAATAATTTTTGTATAGTAATTGGGGTCTTAGCTGGTGGAGGACGATGTTCCTGTGCACACTAACTATTAATTTCTTCTCAATTTTATTAACTTCGCTTAACATAACATAAATATATTGCAAATTCAAACAAATGGTAACATATTAATGAAAGTATCCTAGCTCAGTTATTTTCCATAAAAATCACCTCGTGTCAGGCTCATTAATTCTCATTTAGTAGTTAAAAAAATGACATGCGAAATTAAATTTTGAAATAATAGAAGTTTGTCAATTAAAATCTTATTATTTTATCGTAGATTTTAAGAAAATATCTTTATGAATTAATATTTTATTATTTTTATATGCTAATTCATTATAGGAATATTTGTTTTATCTTCAATGATAAATATTATACTAGTTATTTATAAAAATCTTTAAATTTTTGTTATTCTCTCAAAAATTTTTAAAAGGAATTTTTATTTTCTTATTTTTTTGTAAAAAATAATTGTCTTATTTTAGGTTTTTTTTAGACAATTAGGTCATATATGCACACAATCCATACACAAAAATTCGAATCCAAGACTTCTGAATTGAAAGTCTAATACTCAACCAACAATTCAAGGCGAGATATATTTTTTAGGTTATTTTAATAAAATAAAGAGAGATTATTTCCGTTCTCTCAGACAAATTTGGCCTGGAATGTGTTACCCAGTTTTTTTCACGGTCAATTTGAGCTCGTCACAGAAGAACTGAATAAACAGCTCAAATATGCAAACTTTTTTTTTTTTTGGGTGTAAATTTCTGGTCCTATTTGACTCAATTAAACGAAATGATCGAATCGAACTCATGCTCGATCGCCTGTCTGCCTCTTACCTGCAAATCAAACACTTCGTATGTCGCGGCCTTCTTCTCCAGGACGGGAATCAGTCCACCCTCCACTTTCCGCTTACTCGCCTCAGCAGCAAAAGCTTTGAACTTAACGTCACTGATAAGTCCATGAGCTAACCGCCGCTGAAACCGCCAGGCCTCTCCGTCGGCTGCGAAGATGCCCTCACCAAGAACATCCAAAACATCGACCAAATCTGGCCCTTTTGGATAATTCGGGAAGTTTGCGGTGAAGACGTGGCGAACGTTCGCTGGATCGGCTGTGAGGATGATGTTAGAGTGGGAAAATATCGGACCTTTGAGGATGACGGAAGAGTTGCAGGAGCAGAGGAGGTCAGTGAGCCAGTCGTGGAGGTGTGTTGAGTGGAAGAAAAGGTTGGGGAGTGCGCCAACAATGGGGTAGTTGACGTTGGAAAGGCGGCTGCGGCTGCGCCTGTGGCTGCAGATGAGGATGAAGGAGAAGAAGGCGAGTAGGAATTCAGGGTGGCTGATGACAAAGGTGAGGAGTGGGGAGAAGAGAGTGAGGAAGGAGGCCATGAATGAGTATGGTTTCGCGGTGTTGTGGACCATCTGGTTGTAGCAGTTTCTCTTCCGTGCTCCAATTCCTATTTATATATATATATAGTGAACTTTAACATAATTTTGAATGCTTTATAAGACGCTCTTAATTATATAAAATATTTTTACAGTGTCATTCAATATATTATTATAAATTTGTGTTGAGAGAGCGAGACACTTTTTAATTGATTTTGAATGCTTTAAAAGACGCTATTTATCATATAAAATATTTTTTTTTTACGGTGTCAATCAAGATATTATTATAAATTTGTGTTGAGAGAATATGCAAGCAAGGAACTCTTTAAGATTGATTTTGAATGCATTATAAGACGCTGCTTATAATATATTTTTTACAATGACAATCAATTTATTATTATAAAGTTTTGTTGAGAAAGAGCGTAGGCTAGCACAGAATTCTTTTTTATTTTTTATTTATTTTGTTTTGTTTTCCTTTTTGTTTATATATATATATATATATATATATACTAGCAAGGAATTCTATTTTATTTATTCACTATTACAGATGACTTCATTAAACCCAAAACTATTTTTATAAATATTTCAATAAAAATACAAAATGATGTCGCTTTTTGTATTCTGCATGGATATGATTAGTGAACATCTTTTTAAAGATCACGCGTCAAGGCCATGTGAAGTTATTAAGTGCTGAGTCCAAACGTAGATCTAATTTTACGTCTGTTCTATGAGTATACTTAGTGTAGACTATATACAAAACAATACTGTGTACACTTATATGTTCGGTCTACGTCCAATCTGTGAGTGTACATAGTATGTACACACTGTATGCATTACACAAAAATATATTACGTACACTCATATTTCCAGACTCCGCACGTAATAATTCTCCAAGACTTCAGCACATTCATTAAGTTTTAAAAAATGATAATAAAGTATATCAATGATCTCAGCACAATATTCATCAAGGGAGTCAAATTGCAAGTATTTTCACTAGAAAAGAATTTTGGACAAGTTTTGAGAAGAAGGAGAATACAGCTGGCATGTTCTCCAAGCTTTAAACCCATCGTTGGCATCAAGTAATATGATGATGTAGTAGTTGAGCCTTCGACAATAATGTCATTATCTGATATGTGAATTTTGGAGCCAGTGAGCAATTTAACGTCCACTCTAAGGATTAAATTTTGCTGACTAGTCTTGGCAAATTGTCAAGCCTGAATCAAAGTAAATATGTCAATAGATATAATTCATGGCCTTGGACAACGTTTGGGCATAGCCAATACATAGCACATTAAGACTTGTTTGAGACCTTCTTTTAATGCTTTTTAAAATAACTTTTTAATTTTTTTTTTAATTCAAAAGTTTTGTATTGAAACACCGATTTAGAAAGCAATGGAAAATCTGTCCCTAATAAAGCCTAAATAAATTTATTGTTAGCTAGCTGTAAAGCCTATTATAGGCTTATAATGTTGTCTATTCATTTTTTGAAAAAAAATAAAGAATAAAAGGAATGTAGTGAAAAGTATATATATTGCATTTAAATTATTTTTTAAGTTGTTTGATAGCATGTAAAATTAAAGTTATAATTTTCTTTGCCTTTGGTTTAAGAAAAATTTGTTCAATATAGAATATGACAATTATTCAATGACAACTATAGCATTTTGGTGGTGATGGCGACAACTTTAGTGAGCTTGGGGTAATGGTCAGTGGCTAGTGGCAAGCGGAAGCAATGTCCATTTCATCATCATGGTGGTGAATATGGTGGTATTCACTAATTAATGGGGATTAGCTATAGTTGTCAAGAGTGGTGATTGATGACAACAATATTGCAAACAGTCGGTGATATTTGTAGCTTTTCATGGTGACCAACTGAGATAGAAGCTCGCATTTGTGGCCAGCAATGGGTGATAGAGTGTGAAGGCTAGCAATAATAAATGTTTTATGATAATCAATGACACTAGAAAAAGCTTCACATTTTTTATGTTTTAAAATTAACTTATTTTTTTTTTTTTGATGAACTGCAAAATGCATTAAATAAATAAAAATTCTAATACAAACTACTAAGTGATAGAAATTCTATCATTGTCCTCCTTTAACAAAGAAAAGAAAAAAGGAGGAACCTTATTACAATCTAATTCATCCCACAAAAAATCTTCTTTCAAAGCAAAGTTAGCACAAAAGTCGGCTACCTTATTACATTCTCTATTTGCAAAATGAAATAAAAAATCTCCAAAATCCTTGAGAAAAGAAAAGTCCTCCCATCCAAATTGGTTAGCCACCCGATCATCTTTAACAACCGCGTTTTGTAAACTTTTTATGATGTTCAAGTTGTCTCCCTCTATTATTATTCCTTTAGCATCCATCATCCAATCCTTGATAATTCTTCTTAACGAACGAGCGGATGCCCCATTGATTAACCATTTCAATAGCTAGAATTAACTTTGAGCATTTAACTGCAACATGCTCCTCATCTTCCTTCTTCTCACAACCTCTCGGGCACGTGTTGGTATTAATCAATCTCCTATACATTAATTAGGAAATTAGTAGTAGGAATAGCATTTTTAGAATTCACTTATGTTAAGATAAAACAAAGTATATTAAAATTGAAAAAAAAAAGAATCCCAAGCACCAATATTTTCTGAATTCCTTTTCATCCAAGTAAAATCTTGAAAAGTTAGATCCCTTGCATTTCTAATACATTACACTGTAAATGTATATGTCCCCTAAATGGCTTCATTAACAAAACGACTATAGGAAATGTGGCCATTTTTGTCGACAATTTCTGCCAAAAATAAATATTTCCAACAGGGTTTAAGTGATTTTCTATCTAGTTGTAAAAGCATCGAAGGAAAGCATTTTCAACGCATTACTTTCCAATCAAAAATATTTTTAGTGGATTTTGGAAAAAGGAACCCAAAGGAAATATCAGCGAAATAAAAATTTCACTAAAATTGCATTTTTCAACTCATTTCTTTCACTAAAAATGCGTTCGAAGCAGCTAGAATTTTTTGCTACCAATTATAACACCAATTGCACTAAACTTCATTTATCATCCTAATCAACAATTAATACAGTTGAATTTCACTAAACACATAAAAGAAATTAAACAAAAACAATAGAATTTCTTTTAATAGTTCTTATTCATACTCAAACTTGTACAACAGAGTATTAAACATTAAATAACAGCGGATTTAATCTTTAAAAAAACTCAAATAAGAAAGTTCTCTCTTTGCATCAACTAACAATATCCCGGAAAACAAAATAAAACTTTTACATTTAGAGTCACAAACTGTCTAAGTTAGTACAAAGTATAAAATATCTCAAAAAAACTTTGATAAAGAAATAACATAAAAAAGCTATGTACTTATTATTTGTCATCAAAACTATACAAGTTGCAAGAATGTAAAACATGCAAATAGAAACTTTTTTAACAATCTCACTCTTTTTTATGATGATAAAACAATTATTGTTTGTATAATTTTCAAATTTTAAGTATCTCCTAAACTCCCCCTAAATTGATGAATATTTAAAAATAAGGAGGCGTTGCACAACAGTTTTATCTCTCCCTTTTTTATTTTTAAATTTTAAAAATGCAATAAAAATAATATTACAAAATAGAAATACGATACAAAAAAGGATACAAAAAGATACGAGTTACGAAAAGATACGAACAAATAATATTTTCTCCCCCTTTTTGACAACAGCAAAAAGAGAAGAAGAAAAAGACCAGAAATGTAAGCATTCATATGATAATCCTTTGATAATTAATCCTTGAAAGTGATTGAAATAAATCTTGCAAATAAAATCAAAATATTAATCAAATCATAGTAATTCATAGAATTTAAGAAGAGATATAACATTGATAATAAAAAGTATATATAAAAAATATGAGTCAATTTAGACACTAAGATAGAGAAAATCATTGCAAAAAGGATGAATAAAAAAATTGTATATTTCAAATTTCAATATGGAATATAAATGTACAGAAGATCAATTAGAATTAAGAGATTAAAAGATTATGGAAAAAATTAACTACCACATGTGACGCTTTGTGTATCTTTTTCAAATTTGTGACACATTTTTATGCATCTTTTCACTTGTGGGCTTTTTTGTGCCTCTTTTTTAAATTGTGAACCTTTGCGCATTCCTTTAGATTTTTTATACATTTGTACATTTTTCAAGAGTAATCGTATTCTTTCTAAAATCAATAATAAAAAAATTTATATTTTTCTAAGTGCATAAATATTTATTGATAAGTGAAATACAAAATAAGAAAACATCATAATTGCAATAGTAATATTAGACATTAATGTAGTCTAAAAGAGACATGAAATTGACAATCTTAATTACATCAAGTTATAGGCTAAACTTAAAATTAAAAAAAATTAGATTTTCTAAAGAATTTAATTTTAACTTGTATTTCAAAGTATAGCACTCTTAAGATAAAAAATTATAACGATTGTCATATGTGCTAAAAGACATTTCAAAAATAAGATTAAATTCAAAACATGATAACTTATATTGATATCAAAATAAAGTATATTACAATCTCAGCAAATGATATCAATACGATATAAGATTCAAAATTAAAAACATCTGATGAAAAGAAAGTACATCACATTTTTCTAAAAATACAAAACTAACACATTAACTAAAGAAAACACATAATCAAGTACATGAAATCATTCTGAATGACCCTAATTTGGAGGAGGAGGAGGAGGTGCAGCACCGAAGAAGTTGAAATAGCTACTCATTATAAGCATATTGGAATTTATATCGTTTATCTGCTCTCGCATAAATCCCATATCTTGAGTTTACTGTATATTCCTGCTGCTACATATGAGCTTCAATTTGATCAAACATTTGATCAAAGTGAGTCTCTAAACGGTCAAATCTTTGAATCAATTCCTGATAGTTTTGGTTCATTAACACATGCAGGTGCAGCTTCATGTTCTTTCTCAGTATCATTAATGACATGTGTTTTACTTGGTTCTTCTTTATTGAAGATTGCTCTAAATGATCAGTCATTGTAGTAGAGCGATTCTTCAAAATCTTA